AAATGAATAAATAAATAAATAAATATAAAATAATAAAACAAAGAGAAGAAAAAATAAACTTTCAAGTAAGTATGGCTGTAAATTTTGTGTTAGGATTCCTCTATAATGCTTGTTCAATAAATATATATTATTTCTAAATTTCTTTGGAAGTAGTGCTGTATTTTCTTCATCACACCACCATTCTGAAACAGGACAGTATAAGTCTTCATGTCTGTAAGGGTTGCATATGTTTCATCTTCATTCACCCCTGATATCCTACAAGCTTTGCAAGGATGGAGAATGTGGTTTTCTTGAATACTGTCATATCCCTACTACCTAGCTAGCACTGGCCCTGCACAGAATATCCCATAAGTATTTGTTACATTAATAAAATAGTTATAATTAAATCAAAACTATGTCTATTTATTACACATCTGCTACTGTCCCAGATGGGGGGGGATCAGAAGATGTACATTAGACCCCCAAAATTCACAGGAGTTACATTTCTAGAGTACCCATGAATTGTAAAAACCACAAATTTCAGATATGATCAGAAAAATGCTTATAAATGCCTATTTTAATACTAATTATGCTATATCTGCCACAATTATGTAATTTAATAAAACACTATATATAGTACTGTAGAAATTCCATTTAATAAAATAATGTACAGTAAAATGTACAGGTAGTTTAATCTCCTGGAGTGTTTTAAAATTGTTCTGGTCCTTAGGTTCAATGCCAGAAACCTTAGAAGGTTCAGGGTGTTTTTGTGGCATCTTGGGGATCTTAGGGCTTTAAGAACAAAACCAGGAACAATGAAGATAGCTACACACAGCACAGCAAGCTGTTACGATGCAGGAACGCTGCTTCATCTGCTGGAGATGGGTTACAGGGATCAGCCAATCAGTGGCAAAGATAACAGGATAACTCTCAGATTAGCTACTTGCAACTCCCTCCCCCCACCGCCCACACACAAAAACATTGCAGAGGATATTTGTGGTTTCTGCAAAACTGGGGGTTTCCTGGAACAATTATTAGTTAGGTTCTAAAGAAAAATGCTGGAAGGATTTAGGCCACAAATTCTGAACCACAACTCTGCAAATGTATGTTGTATATATGACCCTTTCCTAGAGAACTATATGATCTAATTGCAAGATAAAACAAACAAATATGACACAACAAGAAAACAAGTTTAAAATATAAGGTGTACAACTGGAGTTTAGAAACAAGGAGAGAGTATGGAATGTGAGTATAAAGGTCAAGGAAGGGTGTGGAATTAGGCTGTGCTTTGAATGACAGCTCCACTCAGAAGAAATCATTGCAGGTAGAGGAGATAGCAAAGGTAAAAGCAAAGATGTGAAAAGAGAAAGCAGAGTGTGCCTCGGCCTGAATGGCAAGTGTCGGAGGTCTGGGTAGGGTGAGGGAAGATGCAGAAAATAAGAGAGAATTAAAGCAGGACCGGGTGGGGCCTCCCCACCTTCTGAGAGGAGAACAACACCACAGCCTGCACCTCGCTTTGAGGCACAAGAAGGGGAAGTAAAAAGAGGAGATGGGCGGTGTGTCCTTGGTGATATATGGTTCCAATACCTTCTGAGACTGGTGGACTGACAAGGCTGTGGGAACAGGGACGGGCAAGCCTGCTGCTCCTAGGACCATGTCAGCTAGGACTACAACAAACACAGGGCAAGGAACATTTCCTGGCACCCTGAACTATCTACTTTGGCGGGGTAAATTGGGGCAAAAAGGGGAGGGAAATCACGGAGTACAGGGGGTGAGCAAGACGCCTCCCAATGGTGGCCTGATCCTAAACCAGCTCCTGATATCATCCCCTTATCTGTTTTGTAGCTTGAGGGTGGTTCAATGTTGTTGGATGTTGAGGCCCATGGTGTGCTCCTGAAGGACTCTGCAGTAGACTATGAAAAGGAAAATAAGCACACACAGAATGAGGAGGATGCCCAAAAACATCCAAATGGAATGGTGATTTATAATGAATGGGTTGAATTGGTTTAGTAAGTCCAGTACTGCTCGAGCAGCCTCATCAGGCGTGAGACTCTGTACTTGAGGGTGTTGTACATCAATAATTTGTTGACAGAGATGGGCAAGGTCAAGACTTACGTTAGTGCTATGAAAAATTCCCATCAGATGTGCTGCCACCTGGTCCCAAGGCCACTTGGAATTGTTATATGATAGGGCAATAACACACATGTTTATATTCAGCATGGCATTGTAAGCCCTGCCAAAACTGTAGGGCCTTGACCCGATTTTCACTCTAGGTATTGTCTCCTCCAAGGCCAGAATCTGTTCTTTTAAGACTTGGAGACCCTGGTCATAATACCAGGGTCCAGAGAGGTTAGAAGGAACCATAAGAAAGGATGGTCTGTACAACACCATTGTAGAGTTGTTTGCATACAATGTAGTAAGACACTTAGTCAAATTACAGGAGGGCAGGAGAAGCTACATGTGCCAGCAGAATGGTTAGTAATGCTAATATTACGATTTATTAGGATAAAAGGAGAATGCACACGTGGTAGCATAATGAACTGTTGCACCTACATAACAGATGTCTTGCAGGCCATGACTGGACTGCTTTATGGGATACAAGCACCCAAGAACCTCCACAGATCCCTCTGTCTATATATGCAGTTTATTAATAAAGTTGGGTTAGGGTAAGATCCTGAAAAATTGTAAATACTATGTGACCAGTCTATAAACTCCACCCGTTGCAACGTAGTAACTTTTGAAGAGTCCGTGTAACAATCTTCCCATCATATAAAAATAGGATTTGTAAGACCGCATGAAGCATTATGCCAAGGCCCCAAGGGGCAGGGAAGAAGCACTGTAACACAGAAGCATCTCAGCAAGAGTTTGGCCAGTGCTAGTTTGAATAAGTGCAGACTTAGACATCTGCATTATGGACAAGCGGAAGGTACTAGGCCCAAAGCACATAAGCAGGCTGGGGGACATGCCTAGAAAGGAATAGTTGGACAAACTTGGAGCTATACCACGGAAGCCATGGCCTCCCAGAAGGTAGGGCACATTAGTGACAATCTAGTCTATGGTGGAGAAAGGGAGTAGGGAGGAGGAAGAGAGCATGGAGGAGGGGAAGGGCCGTCTTCAGGCTTGGCCCGCAGCAAGAAAGGAGGCAGCAGCAATGAGAAAGCAGGGCTGGAGGAAGTAGAGATAAGGGATGGAGAATCAGGTTGAGAAACAGGGGAGCACTACCCTACGGTGCAGCTGAAAAGACACTGGGGCAAGGGGCTGGCAGAGCAGGGAGGTATCTATCCAAGAAAGATTCTTTTCCAATCATTTTTAAAGAATTTCCTACACATTTGTTCCCACTCTAATCTTAACTTTCCTAAAAATAACAGTACTGGCTGTTCCTGATCCAGAACAACCTCAAAACCAGCCACCACTCTCACGACTGGAGCAAATCACACATCAGAGGAAGAGTATGGTCTGAAAAGCACAGGGCTCTCCATTGTGCAGGAACAGTTGTAATTATTTTCCATCTATCATTTGAAGCTGCCCTTCAGCCTCCCTTTATCATAATTCCACTTGATGCCAGCTAAGTGCAACATGGGTTTGCCCTCTATTCTTAGCTGTCCAAAAAGAAAAAGAGTTACAGTGGTCCAAAGTTCTGGGCAGAGCACAGTTTTAGAAGGCCAAGAATGGAGAAGAAACCAAGCCATCAGTGAGAGGTAAGCTGATACAGAGAAGGGAAATTAGAGAAGTTTGAAATCAGTCTTAAAATCTAATTTTTAACTGTTCTCCTTTTCTTTTTTCAGCTTGATGTGAGGACTGCTTTATTTCTTACCCTGTTGGTCAAATACTGTTGCATGTATAAGTGTTTAATCTCATCCCTCTTCATAATCTCTAGCTCCACATCAGTTGGCTCTGCTTTTTCAAATTCCATCTGAAGATCTGAACTGAATCTTGATGTTCCAGGAAACCTAAGTGAGGAATCTCGTGTTGTCAAATCACTATCCTTTCCACTTGAGACTTCAGACCCGACCTGTTCCACTTGGTTGGGCTTTTCAATCAGACGTTTCATCTTCTGTTGCTTAAACTTTATGAGGGTCTCCTCGTCATAATGAAACCTCTTTTCTGGCACTTCTTCTGGGTGTATCTGAGGGATCTGGGGGATGGGGATATGCTTGGATATGTGAAGGGTCTCCTGAATGTTCTTCACTTCTTGTACTAGGCACTGTATTTCTTCAACAACAGCCACTTTAAAGTCTCGAAGAGAGAGGATGCACTTGTTCATGTGGACTTTCTTTGTATAAACCTGGAAAAAAAAAGAAAGGAAGTAAAATGACAGGTTTTTCACAAATGACAGTTTGTTTCACAAAGGATAACATTTGTTCTTATTCCTTCACCAGCAGGCCTAGTAAAAATCTAGGATAAAAATGTATCTGATCATCTCTGTTCAGCACTAAATTACTCACTAACTTTTAGACTTCCCATTTAACCCCTTCATGATGGGAGGAAAGCCTGGATGTGATCCTTAGTATCTGTTTGTTTCTCATAATTTGTTCCCTTCATCTGGCTTATAGGACTGAGTTCTCTTTTGCTCTTTCTCCTCTCCCTAGGAGTCCTTTCTAGAGCTTTATGTTCAGGTGGGTATAGTACGTTCTACAATATTTCATGCTCTAATATTAATTAAGTATATTTCAGTGTAATGAAATTAAGTTTATTCAAGACACCACATGTGCCTGTCTTCTCTGGCATGACTAGAAATTTTAGGTTGGATGGGCTGGGGATATGCCTCAGTGGTACAGTGTTTGCTTAGTATGTATGAGGTCGTGGATTTGATCCCGAGTACCACAGAAAGAAAGAAATAAAAAGAGATGGGGGGGCAGGAAGGAAGGGAGGAAGGCAGGAGAGAGAGAAAGAGAGAAAGAAACATAAGGGAGAGAGAGAGAGAGAGAGAGTTAGTTTAGGGTAACTAATAAGTTGTGGTCATATGAAATCTAGAAACTGAGATATAAACATATAGGCAGTAGCTAGCTAGTTAGCAACTTTAAACAGTTAGCACATGTTATGGTTTGGGTCTAGATGTCCCCCAAAAGCCTCGTGGGGTCATAGGTGGCTGAATCTAGAGTGTGTGATGCTGGGATTAAGGGTGTGTGATTACTAAACCAGTATACTGATTGGTTTGGCACTGTCCTAATCTCAGTAGCCTGGATAAGATAAAAGGGGCAGAAAGATGCTGTTGAGGTCACTTGTTGCTTTGCCACAATGAACTGTTTCTCCTCTGCCAAGCCACTCTGCCTTGGAGCCAGCTGATTGTGGACTGAAACCTCTGTGAACTGTGAGCCAAATAAACTTTTCCTCCATTAACTTTGGGTGACAGCAATGGTATTTTGTCTCAACAATGAGAAAAGTAACTAAGACAGCATATTTTAAATAATGTAGTCATAACAACATTTATGTATGATGATGAATGGAACATAATGGGTAATTAAGAATTACCTTAACCAAACAGCTAGAAAAATGTCCAAGTGGTCACTAATAACATGTAAAATGTCCATTTTTACCGAAAGGATACAAATTATGAGCTATGAGAATTTGTGGAAATGAATTACCATGGGAGGATTCATGTTCTGCATATAACACCTTTGGTGAAGTAGAAAAAGAAACCCTTCCTACAGGATCCTTCATTTCCATTTGTCACAAAATTGTAAAATATTCAAATATACTATATATGTGGTATGACTGGCACCTTCTCCAGTTTCATGCCCTGAAATGGGCAACTGCATAAGACATTAGGCAACCAAGTATCAAATCCTCCTAAACACAATGGCTTAGATGCCTTCTAAACTTCAAATAGTGAATGAGGAATTAATAGGGCAAGAAAAAGAAACTTTAATAAGAAAAAAGAAAATGAAAAACTAGTATGCTTAGAAGAATGAAGAGAAATTCAGAAAACAGTATATTAATTAATTGGTGTTGAGTTTCCTACAAAAGGCTGAAAGTCCTGCAAAGAAAGACTTAACAACGACCTTTCTGCCTGAGTCCTTGGTTATTCACGGTAGCCAAATACTAAATCCAACATGGATTTAAGTTTCAGAAATTCAAAGTCCACAAAACAGTCTAATGTTTTCATTCAAGAAATGTTTCCAGCTATACAACTGATGTGAAGGCTAATGCTACCACATTAGCTGACAACAATGATGGCAAATCTCTTGTTCTCATTAAGACTATTTCCTCTGTCATGTAAAAAGGGCTTTCTAGATAGCTATGAATCTGTTCCAAGTCTAAATTTCTGTGATTGTATATCCTTACTGACCAGATAGAGAAATAAGTGGTTTTAGCAGAATTCAATTGAAAATGCAGAGTGTTTTCTCATTGTCGTGAAATCTGTAAGTAAATACCAAAGAGTCAAGGTGTCCTAGTTCCTCTTCCTTCTTGGCAGCATTTATTCTCATGTGCTCAGGTATCCTGTAGTCTGGGGCTGACTTTAGGTTGAAATCTCCCATACACACTTGGGCTTCTTTGATGGCTTGAATGTCTTTGGGATCTTCATAGTCATCATCAGGTTTACTTCTGTATCTATCAGAAAAATAGACAACCCAGTCATAAATTTAACAGTAAACTCTTAATTTTTATACTTTCATATATGTACAGTTTCAAATTTAGTCATGAAGCAAAAGCATAATTCTGAGTTTTTATAGGGCCTGAGCATTTTTAAATTAATGGTTAATATTAAAGTATCCCAAGAAGCAGAGACCCGCCATGCCATTGATAAGTGTGCACAGATCCTGGGAAGCAGCTGTGTAGACCAGAGTGGTGCATCTGCAGGCAGATTCCAGCCAGGGCCCTGCCCCAAACCGAGAGGCACGGGCACACCCACTCAAGCCAAAGGCCTGCCTAGAAAAGAGCTGCACAGGAACACAAGCTTCAGCCAAAGGCCCACCATACCAACTTCCCCAGCCAAGGGCCCTCCTCGAAAAGAACTACACAGACACACAAGCAACACCCAGAGACTCACCCAATACCATTGGTAAGTGTGTGGAGACCCCAGCCAGAAGTCTGTGCAGACAACAGGAACTGGGGTACACAGCCCCAGCCAAAAGCCCTCCCAACAGCTACACAGGGCCCCAGCAAGAGGCACACCTAGATACCATTCCAAGTGTGCATAGGTCCCAGCCAGAAGCCTGCCCAGATAACAGGTCAGCTCAGGAATCCAGTTTCTGGACCCAGAAATCAGTATACTGGTAAGCAGCAGAATAGGGCTACATGGTGGCTTGCTGAGAACTGAAGACCACTGGGTGAGCAAAAAGTCACTTCAACAAAGGAACGGTAGGCTGAATCTGTTGAAATGGGAAGACACATAAATAAGTCTCAAAACCAGACTTCCTGATCACTTAAGACAACCCCAAAGGGCAACAAGATGGAACAATCTGATATTAAACCACCTGGACTCCCTGAACTGGCAACTAAAGAGGACCTGAAAAAATAATCAGAAATAATCCAACAAAAAGAAGCCATGACAAGGATAAGTCAATACATATTAGTTATAACCATCAATCTTAATGGACTCAATTCACCAGTAAAAAGAAATAGACTAGCAGAATGGGTCAAGAAACAAGATCCAACAATGTGCTGCATAAAAGAAACACATTTAATTCAAAAAGAAACTTACAGACTGAAAATTAAAGGGTGGAAAACCATGACACAGGAATCCACAAAAAAACAGGAGTAGCTATCCTCTTTGCAGATTAAGTGGATTTCAAATCAATACTGATTAAGAGAGGCACAGAAAGACATTACATCCTTGTAAAGGGAACAATCAAAGAGGAAGAGATGACAATCATTAATGTATATGCACCAAACACTACTGTACCCAACTATATAAAACAAATACTAATGGACATGAAAAATTATATAAGCACTAATACAATAGTACTGGGGGACCTCATTCAATACCCCACTGTCACAAATAGATAGATTAACTGGACAAAAAATACACAAAGAAACAGTAGAACTCAATCAAACTCTTGAACAAATGAACTTAACAGATGTTTACAGAGCATTCCATCCACAAAATCAGAATACACATTATTTTCAGCTGCACATGGATCATTTTCCAAAATATACCACATACTTGATCACAGAAAATGTTTAAGTAAGTGCAAAAGAACTGACGTTATCCCCTGTATATTATCAGACCATAGTGAGATAAAATTGGAGATCAATAGCAAAAGAAACAGCAAAAATTTCACAAACACATGGAAATTAAACAACACACTTCTGAATAACCAATGTGTCACAGAGGAAATTAAAGAAGAAATCAGACAGTTTCTACAATGACAATACAACACACAGGAATCTATGAAGCACAATGAAAGCAGTCTTATGAGAGAAATTCATAGCAGTGAATATTCATTTAGTAAAACAGAGTAAGCTCAATTACACAACCTGATGCTGAACCTCAAACTTCTAGGAAAAGAAGAGCAGGGCCAACTCAAAGCTAATACAAGGGAGGAAATTATAAAGATCAGGGCAGAAATAAATGCAATGGAGACTAAGAGAATGATACAGAAAAATCAACAAAGCCAAGAGTCGGTTCTTCAAAAGAATAAACAAAACTGACAAATCTTATAAAAGAAAAAACGGAAAGAAAGGGCCCAAATCCATACAATGAGGAATGAAAAGGGTGAAATTACAATGGACCCAGCAGAAATTCAGAGGATAATCAATACCTACTTTGAAAAGCTATAGCCAATAAGAAAGAAAATACTGAAGAAATGGACAGATTCCTAGATACATATGAATTACCAAAGTTGAATACGGATGACTTAAAAATTCTAAACAACCCAATATCAATCAATGAAATTGAAAATGTAATTAAAAATTTACCTATTAGGAAAAGTCCAGGTCCTGATGGCTTCACTATTTAGAGAGGAACTATTGCCAATACTGTTTAAACTCTTCAATGAAATTGAAAGGGAAGCAATACTCCTGAATTCATTCTTGAAAACAAGCATCACTTTGATCCCCAAAACAGAGAAAGAACCAACTGAAAAAGTGAACTACAGGCCAATCTCACTAATGAACATAGATGAAAAAATCCTTAATAAGATACTGGCAAATAGAATGCAAAAGATCATCAAGAAAAAGATCATACACCCTGACCACGTGGGAATCATCCCAGGGATGCAGGAATGATTCAACATAAATAAATCAATAAATGTAATGCAGTATATTAATAGAGCCAAGAACCAAACCATATGATCATCTCAATAGATGCAGAAAAAGCATTCAACAAAATCCAACACACATTCATGATAAAAACAGTACAGAAAATTGATCTCTACCTCAATCTGATAAAAGCCATTTATGAAAAACCAACAACCAATATCCTACTAAATGCTCAAAACTGAAATCCTTCACACTGAAACAAGGAACAAGACAAGGACGTCCACAATCACCACTCTTGTTCAATAGTTTTGGAAACACTAGCCACAGTCATTAGACAAGAGAAAGAAATAAAAGGAATAAAAATAGGACATGAAGAAGTCAAACTATTGTTATTTGCAGATGACATGATACTCTATATAGAAGACCCCAAGTACTCGATCAAAATTCTTCTAGACTTAATAACAAAACTCAGTAAAATAGCTAGATACAAGGTCAACACACAAAAATCAGCAGCTTTTCTGAACACAAAAAGCAGACTCACTGAGACAGAAATGGGTCAAAGAAATTCTTTCACAATAGCATCCAAAAATGTAAATACTTAGGAATCAACTTAATAAAAGAAATCAAAGATCTCTACTCTGAAAACTACAGCACTCTAAAAAAAGAGATCAAAGAGGATATCAGAAAATGGAAAGACTTTCTTGCTCCTTGGTAGGAAGAATCAACATAGTGAAAATGGCCAAACTTCCAAAACTGCTATCTACATTCAGTGCAATCCCAACTAAAATCCCAGTAGCATACTTCACAGACCTTGAGAAAACAATCCAAAAATTCATTTGGAACCAGAAGAGACTTAGAATAACAAAAGCAATTCTAGGCAATAAAGACAGGGTATCCCCAATTTGAAACTATACTACAAAGCTACTGTGATAGGAACAGCATGGTATTGGCAAAGAAACAGACCTGAGGACAAGTGGAACAGATTAGAAGATGCAGAAACAACTCCAGACACACTCAGCCACCTCATCTTCCACAAAGGAGCCAAACACCCTCACTCAAAGAAAGATAGCATCTTTAATAAACAGTGCTGGAAAAACTGGGTTTCAACTTGCCAAAGATTAAAACTAGACCTATATCTCTCATCATGCACTAAACTAAAATTGATAGGGATTAAATATCTAAAATTAAAACAGAAACACTAAGCCATCTGGAAGATAGATTAGGTAGAACTCTTGAAGTCACTGGGGTAGGAAAAGATTTTACAAACAAAACTTCAGTTGCCCATGAGCTAGCACAATCAACAAGTGGGATGTCTTCTTACTAAAAAGCTTCTGCCCAGCAGAGAAACCACCAACAATATGAAGAAACAACCCACAATGTGGGAAAAAATTTTCACCAGCTGTTCCTCATACAAAAGTCTACCATCTACAATATATAAAGAACTTTAAAAGGTCAGACCTCCCAAATTTAAAGGCCCAATCAAAAAATGGGCATCTGAAATGAACAGAAATTTCTCAGACAAAGAAGTAGAAATAGCAAATAAACATGTGAAAAAATGTTGAACATCACTGGTCATTCGAAAGATGCAAATGAAAACAACGTTGAGATTTCACCTCACCCCAGAAGGAATGGCTGCTATGATGAAATCAACCAATAACTAATGCTGGTGGGGCTGTGGGGAAAGAGGAACCCTGCTCCACTGCTGGTGGAGTGTAGACTGGTGCAACCACTGTGGAAATCAATATGGAGATACCTCAAACAATGAGGATTGGAAGTCCCATTTGACCCAGCTATTCCCCTGCTGGGTATCTTCCCTAAAGAACTAAAGAATCATACCACAGTGATATATGTGCACCCATGTTCATAGCAGCACAATTCATGATAGCTAAGACTTGGAAGCAACTCAATTTCCCATCAAGGGGAGACTGGATAAAGAAAATGTGTTTTTTTAATATATAAAATGGAGTATCAATCAGCCATAAAGAATGAGAAACTAGAGATATTTATAGCTAAATGGATGCAATTGAGGACATATTCTTAAGTAAAATAAATAGGACACACATGTGTAAATACCAAATTGTTTCTCTAGTGTGAGAAACAAAGTGTAAATAAGGACTAAAAGGTATAACAGATTACATGAAATAGGAAGAAAAGTTACAAAGGGGAAGGGGAAGTGGGAGGAGTAGGGGAAAAGAAAGATGGGAATGGAATTAATACAAGAAAGAGGAAAAATGGTAAGAAAGTCTTTATAGATAGGGAGGGAGGGAGGGGTTGAAGGGAGGGCAGAGAATGGGGAAAAAATAAGAACCAAGATGGATTATAATAAAAAGGTGCAAATCTCCAATGATGAATGTCATTATATTGTATACCTTAAATGTACCAATAAAATTAATTTTTTTAAGTATCCCAAGAAAAACAATATATAGGGCCGGGGATTTAGCTCAGCGGTTCAGCGGCCTGCCTTGCAAGCACAAGGACCCGAGTTCAATCCCCAGTACCAAAAAAAAGAAAAGAAAAATAATATATATTTAAATAAATAAAACCAATCACTATATTGTATTGAAATAATCTTAATCACTGGCTTTCATTTACTTTTAGGCAATTCACACTAACATTGTCATTTATTCTCTTAATAGAAATTAAGGCTTGGAAAATTGGTGGTTTTAAAAATCATGGAAAAGTCAATCAAACTTTATTACATAAGTGATTCTCTCAAAATTTTCTAGAAAAATAACCTAGTTAAGATGATAGCATGAGCATATGTATTTGCCGCCCCCTCTGTCCCCAGAAGTAATAAATCCTTAGGCCAAAAATGGGATAGAAAACCCACAAGCAAACCAGTGAGCTTAGACATTTCCCAAAGATAGAAGATGAAATTATATTTCAGACCAAACCAGAGAAGACCAAATCCCACAAGACCCTTATGAGAAGGCTACAAAAGAATTGAATACGCTCTTGGTAGATCCCTAAGAGGCTCCAAGCATAAAAGGAGCCTCTGTGGAGAGTCCAATGGAACAACTGACATATCTGGCAAAATTAATTAAAGGGTTGAACAGGGGTGACTGAGGCCCCACCCCCCAACTTTCCACATATATAAGGCAGTAGCAACTTCTATACCAAGATTTATACCAAGACTAAAACTGAAGAATTGCTCTGTGCTCTGCTTGGGAAGTTCTAAGACATCTGTGAGAATGGGTACCATTCAATTGCAAGACCCTTAATTATGAGACTCCAACATTCCTGCCTAATTAAATGAAGTCTACCAGCCAATACGAACATGCACACATAGCTTCCAGTCAGCAATTTTCTTCAGAGGAAACCTTTTTTTAGGAAAACAAAATGCAAAATAGCAGAGGAAATCCATGCCATTTTTTTGTATTAATTGGTATTTATTTATGTAGAGCTGCACTAAAAGAAAGGATTATTATTTTTAGAGAGTGAAAGAGAGGGGAGAGACAGAGAGAAAGGTAAATCAAGAGAGAAGATAAAAGGAAAGGAGAGAAGAGAAGGAAAAGGAAAGAGAAATGAAGTATTTCTGCTTCTGGCCATGTGAGTAAATTAGGCGCTATAATTAATTATTTTCACATATAAACAACTAGAAAACTGAATTGAAATGTATGTAGCAACTATGTTCAGACATTAAATACAGGTAGGAGACACTGACAGTGAAATGGATTACAGTGTTGGGATAAAAAACAATTTCTTATCCCTTAAAAATCCCTCTGACTTTATTAGCAAAATGGAATTCTTAGACCTGAAACTCTAAGGATCATAGATGTTAAAACAGTCAGCTTACCTGTCTTCAATGCCTTCATTTGTTTTTATTTCTTTCAGTTTTTAATTTAAATAATAACAATGTCAATGAGAAGATTTGAAAAGGTGTATTTGGAGCTCACATATTAAAAGAATAAGGGTTTAGGTGAAAAAAAAAAAAAAACTCACAGATCTTCCCATTCTTTTTTCCGCTGCTGAATCTTAAGTTGAGCCCTTTCAGCTTTTAATATAAGTTTTCTGGTTTTCTCAATTTGATTTTCCACCATAATTTCACTTAGGGTTTTAGGTCGAAACTTACTCCCTTTGTCTATTATTGATTCTTCTTTTTTGTTAATACTCCCACCTGTACAGAAAATCAACACTTTTTTTAGTTTTTTTCAGACTAGAAAACAAAACATATTTTTTAATCTGCCACAGAAAAAAATCTATAGAATATGTTGAATTTTTTTAAAAAGTATTTATTGAATAACTATCATGAATTCAACCACATATAATGGGGTTATGTCCCAGTAAGCCTTTTTAAACTAAAAATTGTTAAGTTAAAAAAAGTATTTAATATATCTATCCTCCAGAACATCATAAAGTCTATTTTATTATGAGGTATTGAATCTTGTGTAATTTATTAAATTTAGCATTTAATGTGAAAAACTGAATGGTTGTATATACTTTCACATCAATGTGGAAAATTGTTAAAATTGTGGAAAAACTGTAATCAAACATTGGGTACTGTCTTTAACGTGGAATGCCAAAACAGAGAGATCTAAGTCACAATTATTACTTTAGGACCTTTATTAAAAAGTTGTTAAGATAAATCACATATTAAACAACTGAAGAATGAGTCGTAAGTACCATGCATTAACCAACTGCACCACTGGAGTGCCCAGAGAACAAGATATATAATGATGAGTCACTGACAGACATTGGGAGCTATGAAGGAGTATTTGCGGGGGACAAGCGAGAGGCCAGCGAGTCCTATTTGATGTGTGAAATTTGAAGTACATATACCAGTGGAAGTGGCCTGTAGCCAACTGAAAAACTAGTCATGAACACATAACCAAATCCATATTTTAGAATTATTGGCTTTATCAATTAGCAAGTATCTACTAGCATATTACTCTTTGTTGTCAAGCTACACAAAGATGTGCTTTAGATAACATGAAAAGACATGAGATAGCTATAAGGTTGTTAGTTCCTCATTCTTCATATTTCAAATATAGGGTAGAATGGAAAAAGAATGGTTTAACGTAGCCTGGGTGGTTATGAGAAGGCTTTACAACAAGTGTCATTTTAGCCAGATCCCCGAGAACTGGTAGAATTCAGGTCACTGCAGCAGAGGCCTTGAAGGGGAAGTGTCAGAAATAACTGGGTAGCAGTGAGTTGGTCAATAGGCTAAACAGGTGAGTTGGGTAGCATGACACAGTCTAGGGCTAGATTGTGGAAGGGTCAATGTACCGTGATAATGGCATTTAGGATTTTTCTTAAACACCACAAATCTCTCAACAAAGAGGAAGAACTCTGGTTAATGTCAGTACTATATCATGGGCAACAGTCCAGCTTAGTTCTGGCCAGGCTTGAGGACTCTTATTATTCTTGACTGAATTCTCCAAATCATTCCCAGAATTCGTACCCTCCTTCCTCATTTGAAGTCTCTCTCTCTTTAGATATACACCGGGGCGGTGGGGGAGGAGAAAGAAGGAAGGAAGGAAAGGGGTAAAGACAAGACCAAAAAAAAAAAAAAAGAAAGAAAAGAAACAGGTTCCTGGATGAGAAGTACTATTTTCACACCTATATTCTTAGCTCATCATTCTTGGAATGATGTTCATGTACACGTTCTTAGAAAGTAGTATGCAATGCAGTATTTTAGCCTCACATTCTGAAACAAGGCCCAGAAATCTGGAAGAACTATCCTACAATTATCATCTAGGGAAATTCTAGAATTGAGAAGGGTTGAAAGCAGAAAGTAAGAAAACTGTAGTACCCACACAGTATTCTCATCTTTAGCATCCAACAAAAAAAAAATCATGAAGTATTGGTTGGAGAAGTAGGACATCTCATTCTAAACCATATTGAGCAGTCCTAGGGATTATTTATTCCAGGGGAAACGATCATGAATGAAAGAGGGACAAGAAATTGAGCTCAAGCCTCCCAAAGACAAACTTTCTTCTATAAAAAGATATTCAGGTTTAATAAATCTTTATAAAAAGGGATTCGAAGCTTTCTCCTCTTTCAAACTACCTGTGTCTCTCAGACTATCTCTTCTTCCAGGTCCCTCTTTTTCAAGCCTGTCAAGTTTGCTTGGTCTTCTGTCTGACTGACTTATTTGTTTTAATTTAGAATACTTGGAGGGTTTCACCAGCCTGTAGGAGGATATCTTGTGGTCACTTTGTATAGCATGAACCACAATTATATCACTTTCCAGTGAATCACGAAATCTGAAAAAATAAAACAAGTATTTGCAATTATCACTGTTTTGATCGGTCCACGTGATTATTAAATATAACATAAGACCAAATTATACTATTTTTATAAACAATAGCAAAGAGCTGGGGATTTAGCTCAGTGGCACTGCACATGCCTCACAAGCACAAGGTCCTGATTTCAATTCCCAGTACAAAAATAATAATAATAATAATAATAACAGCATAATATTGAGGTAAATTAAAAATTTAACCATGCATTACCATTAGGATATGATTAAAGAGCAAGTAGATATTCTTATAATAAAAATACTAAACAAAAATAAAAATAAATAAAAATACTAAATAATTCATCAATAATCAATATAACACCATTGCTTGCTAATATGTAGAAACATGAAAATTCTGTAGGTAGACTGCAGTTTAATGGTAGACAGAGCTCATCAAACTCTGAGGAAATATAATCAACCTATTTTTTGTACTACATATAATAAGCTATTATATAAAACTGATATATATAGTCTTTATGTTACATGGAAACATATACATATAGAAATTCTATAAAAGTCTATGAACAAACAATGATGACTATATATATGTGTGAAGAATTCCTAAATTGAAAAGCAGAAAAATTATCTTTAACACTTATTTCCAGAGATTTAGGAAAGTTCAAGTCAGTAAAACATTTAAAACATTTTATTTTCTTAAATTACATATATATGTGTGTGTGTTCACATATGCGTGGCAATGTGCATTATTCTCTGTAGGAACTATGAAGGGAGAAGACATCGGGCAACCTGAATATAAGGGTATACCTTTCCGTTCCTACATTTTGTCCCTCAGCTTCCCATTTTAAAGCCATTTAATGAAAACCCTAACAATCAGATTCTATTTACCTCTATAAAAACATAAATTTAGAAATTCATGCTATTTTCTAGTTCTCTTTTCCCTTAACTCCAGACAGATTTTTAAATTTTTTTAATCTGTTAATTTAAGAGAATAAAATAAATTCATTCATTATACTGCTGCTATTGAAGTGGATAGTGGCTCATAATTAATGCCCCACACTTAATCTTAGAATTTAACTTAGTGTGTACATACTTATTATCTATAGTTTGCTTGCCTTCCATACTACTTTTCAGACTCAGTTTTTAATACTATTTTTCCTTTTAAATGATTTACTGCTTTTTATCTTTTTTCATAGCCTAACATCTTCCTCATCTCTTTAAAATTTATTCTCTTTACCTTTTACCATTGGAATTTTACTCTTTAAATTTAGCTTTCGAATGAGACCCAGAAGACATGGGTAGTTTTTTGTTTGTTTGTTTGTTTGTTTGTTTTTGGTACCGGGGATATTAGCTTTCGAATGAGACCCAGAAGACATGGGTAGTTTTTTGTTTGTTTGTTTGTTTGTTTGTTTGTTTTTGGTACCGGGGATCGAACTGAGGTCTTTGTGCCTGCGAGGCAGGCGGCAGAACCACGGAGCTAAATCCGCGGCCCTACGTGGGTAGTTTTGATCACACAAAATTAAAATCATTTACTATATATAATAAAAGACAAATACCTAAAGTATAGAGACTAAATCTAAAAATAAGGGGAACAATAAACAGAATCCAAAGAAAAATGACAAAAGAATCCAAACAGGTGGGGGGAGGGGTTGGCTCAGCAGTTCCACCACCTGCCTCACAAGCACTAGTGCAAGGGCCCAAGTCCCAAAAGAATAAAAACAGGTAATTTTAAAAGAGTAAAAACAAACAGACTATAAACATATGAAAAGAAATGCTAATCTCACCAATAATAAAAGAAATGTAAATTATTCATCCAGGAGTTATCCTGTTTAGCCTATTAGATGGAAGAAGGTGAAAATACTGGTAATACCCAGAATTATTTTTTGGCACTGTTTTATCTCCACTCCACATTCCAAGCAGATGGCTCGGTATTTATTTCCTTCTTATGTTCACTAGAGACATGTTGCTATCGTGGATGGAGGGTGAATGGGACAGGGAAGAAAAGCAGAGAATAAGAGTGTGGGAAGGAACATGTTTTCCTGACTAGGAGGACAGGCAAGTTGAATGAAAGAATTGTGAGTACTTGTTCCCCCCAGATAGCTGCAGGGCAGATGGCAAGGCCTGAAAGTGATGGCTGGGTTTGATCAAGCACACAGGGGCCTCTGTCTTCACCAGGATTAGACTACTCCCACAGAGCACACAGCCATAGAATCAAAGAACAGAAAGAAGTAAGGCTGGGACAATGAGCCTCAGTAGTATTGAGTTTTCTTTTTTGGTAGAAGCCCAGAGTGAAATTTAAGTTACTGTAAATAAATAATAGTCATTGCTTATATACCTTAAGTTTGTGGGTTAAAAGTCCTATCACACACACACACACACACACACACACACACACACATACACACACACATGAACACACACACATGTTGTGACTATTAAAGCTAATTATAGACTACTATGATGAGAGTTCTTTCTGAGAGTCAATAGAAACAGACCCAGAAATAACACTGAACTAGCAGTTCAAATATATTAAAAAAGTTATCATCTTCTATAAGTAGAGGAAGCATGGACATATTAAAATGACAAAATCCTCATCCATTACACTAGGAAGTCAATAAAAATGACTAGTAATAAAAAATATAAGAATATTCTAATGGGAGAAAAAGAATCAAGCTATATCATGCACAGGTACAAACTCCCTTTGATGAATGTAATCATTATGTATATTTAAATTACACCAATACAATTAATTTTTTTTAAAGAATATTCAGAGAGTATGACTGTAACCCCTAGAAGAAATGTTAAAAGTAATTTTTTTCAAAGTGTCTGATGTTTATGGGTTGAAAGATTCAATGCATATTTTTCAAACATTATTATCCCTACATAAATCCATAGATTCAAGGTAATTCCAATCAAAATCTTAGCAAGATTTTTGTGGAAAATGATAAATTGTTCTTAGGTAAAGAATTAATCAGTTTCAGAGATGAGGAACAAAGCTGAAAGATTTACAGTATTAGGTGTCCCGACATAATTTAGAGAGATAACAGAACAAGTATAAACAGAAAGGCCGACGAAGATGAAGTATAGTGAACAGTTCAGATACAGACCTATGCTTGATTTAGGAGAAAAGCATTATTGCTTTTTTTTTTTCTTTAATGGATATGTTTTATTAATGAGTCTTATACAAGAAACTTTTTTTTTAAACTGGGGATCAAACTTGGGACTTTGTGCTTGTGAGGGAGACACCAGAACCACTGAGCTGCCCTGCAAGGGACTTTTTAAAGACAATATATACTAACAGAAGAGCTGATACCTCTGCAAAGGGTCATTGAAAAAGTTGTGCAGTGATTTTTTTTCTCTCATTCAGTTTATTGGTACATTTTAGGTATACAGTACAGTTACTTTCATCATTGGGATCTTGTACACAAAAGCATTATTGCAAACTAGTGAGGAAAGTATGGTCTAATCCAGAAACGATACAAAGTCAATCGGCTATTGATAAAGGAACAAACAACAACTGGTCCCCATCTCACATGATCCACAAAAATTATTCAAGATGAATAATGGCAAGAAATAGAGCTTCTAGAAAAAAACTATAGGAGAATTATTTCATGAATTGGGAGTAGGCAGATTCTTGGAATACCACAAAAAAGCATTAACCTTAAAAGAAAAAGACTAGTAGGGCTGGGGATTTAGCTCAGTTGTTCTGCCGCTTGCCTCGCAAGCGCAAGGGCCTGAGTTCAATCCCTGGTACCAAAAAAAAAGAAAAAGACTGGTAAATTGAATTTAGCTAAAGTGACAACTTCTACTCAACAAAAAACTTCATAAAGAGTAAAGAAAAACACTATACACTAGAGTAAGACATTTTACATGTGCACACACATATATATCATATATAGTCATTCACAGATGTATAAATATATAGAGATAACCAGATTCATATCCAAACTATATAAATAATTCTTATAATCCAGTTAAATAAAATTAAAAAAACTAATAAAGACAAAAAAAAACTACCCAAATATACAAATGATTGTAAATCATCGCTCCATCATGTAAATGCCAATCCAAACCACTCTGAAATACTACTAAAGAATGGCCGAAGGGCCTGGGATTTCTCTCAGTGGTGCTATACCTGCCTGGCAAGTGTGGGAAGTCCTGAGTTCTATCCCTGGTGGGGGTTGCGGGGAGATGGCAGAAATTTAAAGGGATGACCATCCCCACTAATGACCAGTATGCATGATTTTGTGTTCCCCAAAATTGAGGTTGAAAGTTGTAACCCCATACACCTCAAACTGTGACCTGAACCTTAAAAATAGATTCAGACCAAATACCTCAGACAGCAGCCTAAAACCTTAAAAATAGGGTTTTGAAGAGGTTACCAGATAAAAATGGGGTCATAAGGTGGGCTCTGGCCTGATACGACTACTGTCCTTAAAAGAAAGGGAAAGTTGGACACACAGAGGGAAGACTAGGTGAAGAGACATGGAGATAGCATCTGTGGAGACAGAGGAACTGGAGTGAAGCTCCTCGAGCCAAGAACACCAAAGCTTGCTGTCAAACCAGCAGACGCTAGACAGTCATGGAACAGCCTCCTTCCCAGGCCTGAGACCCTGATTCTCAACTTCCAGCCTCCAAAACCATGAGACAATAAATAATTGTTATTTTAAGTTAACCAGTTCATGATACGTTGTCATGGCAGCCCTAAGAAACAAATACTTTGGGGATCAAATGGAGTTTTCACACAGCGGTGGCCAGAGTATTAAACTACTTGAGCCATTTTGGAAAACTAGCTATGTCTAACAGAGCTAAACATGCATATAAACTATGGCCCAGCAGTTCTACAACTGGACACATCACCAATAGAAATAAGTGCGCCGATGTTCACCAAAAAAATGTATGAGAATGTTTATAGCAGTATTATTTAGAGTAGCCAAATGTAGAAATCACTCAAATAGCTATCAATAGCACAGTAGTTACACTGCGGTATAACTATGTAACCAAGAATTACAAGGCAATAAAAGGTACTGAAGTACTGCTATGTGCAACATGGATTATCTTAGACATCAGTGAGTGAAAGAAGCTGCTTATATCTGGATGTCCCCCAAGAGCTTCACACACTCATAGGCAGGGCTTTGGGGAGTGATTAGATTATGGGAGTTTATAGCTGATTCACTGATAGAAGGCAGGAGTGCGGTCAGAAAGGAAGCTCACTGGTCTCCCCAGCTCCTCCCTTCTCTCTCTGCTTCCCTGGATACCGTGTGGTGAGCAGCTTTCCCCCACCCAAGTCCTTCCAACATGCTGCTCTGCCTTGGACTCAGCTGACTATAGGTTGAAACCTCTACAAACTGTGAGCCAAAATTAAACTTTGCTCCTTCAAGTTGTGGGTGTTGCATACTTTGTCCTACAACAAGGGAAGTATCTAAGACAGAAGCCAAATGCACAAGAGTTCACAATATCCCATTTATATAAATTTCACAAAGAAAACTAATGTATGGAAATAAAGATTCAACTTTGAAGAGTACATATCTATTGAAAGGGGGCCAAAAGAGAACTTTCTGAATTGGATATAAATGTTCTGTATCTTAATCTGAGTAGTGGATACATATGTCTATACATCTTAAAAATTATCAAGCCATTCTATGAAGATTTATTCACTTTACTTATGTAACCTATATAAGAATAAAGGGCAAAAAATTTCCAATGGGAAGTTGAGATTAGTGCATAAAAAGGATTGGACAGGAGGTTGCTGTTTTTTACTGTAAGTCTATTGAGTCTATTTGATTTTTTTATTTTTAAAAGGCATATATGCTTATTTATTAATTTGGTATAAAATAGTCATCAAAACAGAAAATAAATAACTATTATATAATTTTTAAAACCTAATTGTATAAGTAAAAAGGAATGAAGAGAAAGCTCAGGAAGATATCAGTGGTAATAACAAGGGGAATTGTTGAAATTTCAAGTCAGTGGTTCCTTCAGAAGACCTTTATGTGATCACTTTGTTGACACTACTGAAAACTATTTACTCAGATATAGACTCTCAAACATCTTAATATGCAGGAAATATGGATCCTACCTTCTCTGTAGCTTCTTTAGGCCAAGTTCATGTTTCTCCTTTTCCCAAGCTAACTCCTTTTCCATTTCTTGAATTTTGTAAACTGTTTTTCTGTCAATTTCAGCACGAATTTCAGAATCAAGATTAAAATCCTGCAGGTAAGTAGATCTTTTTATCAAAAAGTATTCTTTATCCATATATTTTATCAACCTTTCTTTCATACAGCTAAAGATTTTTAATTTTATCCTCGATTTCATGCTATACCCTAACAGTCTCCCACATACCATAAACTCTTTCTTCTAGATGAGAAATAATATACTTCTGATCTTACGTCCACAAGATGGGGAAAAAAGTTACACAATATATGGAGAAATTCTTAATAATAATGCAAATAAAGGTATATACTTACAGATTTTTTCCACAATAAAAATAATAAATGCTAACACTATTTGGTGAGTATATAAAGCTTTAAAACTACTCTCACTACTAGTACATAACCAGCTGGCACTGGCTAAACCCTTTCTGGGTGACCCCATGTAGGACAGGTGGCAGCAGTCTTTGGTATCTTCTTGACATAACCAAATTTTTGTTGAATGTCCTTCATCAAGGGATCCACTAACTTCCATAAGAATGTGTACAGCACTCATGTTTCTTACCTGCACCCTAGGAAGATGTCAGAGCCTGTGGTCATGCTCAATTCAGTATGTTTGTATTTTCAATAATAATGGATGCAAAATGGTTAGCCACAGCATTTGTTCCAGTTTTTCTTTATCCTAAAGTATGTCACCTGTGTTCTGAAAGTATCAACTTGTGTGTGTATATGTGTGTGTGTGTGTGTGTGTGTGTGTGTGTGTGTGCGCTTCTGCAGACTGAATCCAGGGCCTTCCCATTGAGTTACATCCTCACAACTTTTTCCCTTTTCATTTTGAGACAGGGTCTCACTAAATCACTAACTTGCCTAGGTAGGGCTAAAACTTGCAATCCTCCTGCCTCAGCCTCCTAGAGTGCTGAGATTAGGCATGTACTACATGCTTGGCTTCAATCTTTTCTAAAGTAAAGTTCTTTTAACCATTTGAGTTGGTTTTTTAAAGGTTATATAACAAGTTAACTGACATGATTTCACAAAGCATTTTTATATGAAATTGGTAAAGTACTTCTGTAATTACGGGATTGGGTAACACTTGGATGTATTTAGAATGACAAATTCTACCTTTTTACTTTATTTGATTTCTAATAGTATTTTTGTATAGGAAGAAGTACAAAATGAAAAAAAAAACAGCAAGAATATGAAGGGTTTTCAGTAGCCACCAATGAAAAAGGGATACAAAATCAGCTAAACAATAAATATAAATATAAATATGTATAACTTGAATTTTTGGAAACTAACAGTGCTGTCAACTTTGGAAAAAGTTATCCCAATTTACTGTGTTGAGCTGGCATTGTACAGAAATGGACAGCCATATTGGCCTAGAAATGTCAATTAAAAAAATTTTTTTTTCCATTTGTACAGGGTAACACACTGTATTAAATATGTAAGATCATATCAATGTGAGTTTGATTACAGAAACTAATAAAGTATTCTCTAAATAATGAAAAAAAGAATAAGATAAGACTACAAGAGCAAGAAGCAATTTAAATATGTTAAGGGACCATTTCCATCTTCAGAATTAAGGATTATTTTAATCTTACATCATTGCCTTTTCTCTTTTACTTTCCTTTTTAATTATATTTTAGGATTCCCTATTTTTAATGTTCATACAGAGATTTCTTTAACTGAAATACCGATTAGTTTCTCTGGTGTGAAAAACTATAATAGTACACAGTATCCTAATGAGATAATTAATAATGTGAAATAGGAAGTAAAGGGCTAAAGGTGTAGGGAAAGTGGGAAGGATGGGGGAAAGGTAATAAGGGAGAGGAAAAAAATATGAGAAATTGAAAAAATGGAAATAAAGTGTTTGTAAATGGGGAGGGGAGGAGAGGGTGAAGGGAGGGCGGGAACAAGGGGGAAAATGAGAATCAAGACCAATTATGTAAAGGTACAGGATCCCAATAATGAATGTAACTGTATTGTATACCTACATTGTACCAATAAACTCAATAAAAAGAAAAAAAAATTTAGCTAAACAATTTTGTAATTGTCCTTATAGCTACAACTAGTCTAAGTCATCTCTTAGAAACTGTAGAGATCAACCACATACTATCTTCTCAATAGATCTGACATACTATAGAAAGAAATGGAACCCCAGAAAAATTACATATGTCTACTAATGTCTACACAACGCATTTTTGGCTAGGCACAATAAAGTTTGATAACAGACTAAAACTCGTACTTATATTTTACACCTTGTTACCAAAAACAATACCAAAGTGCGTGATAGTTAAATCCAGTAGTAAGCTTTGTGCCACGTAAAAGGGCTTATCTGCTTCCACAAAATTGTCTAGTTCTACAGAAGCTGGCCAGATAAAGGATAGATTAATGATCTTTAGCATTCCTTCTTGTTTGTAAAACAGTAGTCTCAATCCAGAAATATCATATATTAAAATGAAAGTCAAATTTATTTAGACTTACTGTCCGTTTAAATTGCATATGCTCTGGTAATTCTTTGTTCATTTCTAATAGCTTCTGAAATTCATTCCTCAAAGCTTTGATTTTTTCTCTCTTCTTAGCTTTTATTTCTTCTACTTCTTTCATTAATTTGTCATGTTCTCTTTTTCTCCTGGCATTCTCAATACTGAAAACAGAAATTTTAAAAGAGCAACAAGTTAGGCTATAAAAACAGTAAAAAAAAAAGCAATATTTAATAGTTTGGATACTTATTTAGCTTGGTCAGCTCCTACAAAATGTTAATTTCTTTTGCGAAACTTAGGGAGAAACAGTATGTGTCAAAAATTCCTCTACCTGTAGGCTTTGGGATCTTCAATATCCTCTGGAATTGGCTCTGTTTCTATTCCAAACTGTAAGAAGAAATAAAAAGCCTTTTAAAATTACATAATATTTCCCTTCAAATATCTAGACAGAAGTAATTTGACTGGATTTTCCTGCCACTTTCTAACAATTATAGGTTTGAAAACTAGTTTCACATACAACAAACTAGGGGAAAAACTGCAGTTTACTTATACTTATTTAGTTTTGTTTCATTTAAAGAGGGAGGTAAAAAAAAAGTCTTGAAACCTAATTATATATTCGTGAAATGTTAATATCACCATAATTCTCCCACCAGAATGCCAACTACTGCCGGGGATTTAGCTCAGTGGTTCCACGTCCTGCTTCGCAAGCACAAGGTCCCGAGTTCAATCCCCAGTATATATATTAAAAAAAAGAACACCAACTACTAATTCATATGATCCATTAACACATGTGCTACTGACAGAGAAAACATACAAAAATAATTTCTAGATCATCTATTTCAAAATGTTCTTTTTCAGTACATCCATTTATTACATGCACAGTCTCCCAAAATACCTTGTATGCATCCCAGGAAGACTTGACTACATGTACACATTGTAATTTTAAGAATTTTATATGACCTGGTCAAAAGAAGACATAAAGTACAAAGTGCACAAAATAATACAAACTTCTTCCTTCAGAGAAAAAAATAATACAAATTTCCTTTCAGAAATGAAATTGGTTTAAATTAAGAGGAACTGAGAAGTAAACCACTTAAACTACTTTGTGTATTCAGGTGCTGTGCTGTAAAATGTCTCAGTCCATGATGTGAAGGAAGAGGAATTACACCCAATGAATAAAATAGTTTGCTAACTAGTCAGTTCTTAAATAAAACTAAACTTTATTCTCTACTTTCTACCATAACAGATGGCTCTGTCTTGCTGTCACTCTTGCTAAAGAAGTAAAGACTCTTTTGATAAAGTTGTTTGATGAAAGTCTTCATACATATGAACTGTAAACATATAGTGTTTATACATGAGATGCAAGACCACACATTTTTATGGAAGTCATGGTTTGTGATTTTAGTAAAAGTGAAGTTATACACATGAACAAAAGAAGAGACAGTGATGGCTAATAACTTACTATTAACCACTCAAAACAAATTTATTGCATTTCATTTAATGCTGAGGGGGGCAACAGCTACGTCATTTTATTCCCCAATATCAGTGTGTGATTTGATAGGGAAACTCAGCTGTCTCTTGGCCACAGCTGTTCACAATACAGTGGCAACAGACAAAGGTGATGCCACAATTCTACGATATAGGTCAAAAGATCTCAATCCTGGCTGCACATTAGGACCAAATGGAGGGAATTTTATAAGATTCTGAGACCTGAGCCTCACATTCAGTGATTCTAATTTAATCATTCTTGAGTGGTGTTCTGACATCTGGACTTTTAGGGATCCCTAGTGAATTCTAAAATAAAATAAGACCCTCAGATGTCCGTAGGGCTTAGTTGATTTTTATGGATTTTGTTATTCTAATTCTTTCCAATTTTGCCTGCTTAAGAGCAGAGTCTGCATCAATGATCTAAGAAATTCTGATGCTACCAAGACCTATCATGTAAAGGTACAAGATCCCAATGTCCCAATGATGAATGTAACTGTACTATATACCTAAAATGTACCAATAACCTCAACGAGGAAAAAAAAAAAGAAATTCTGATGCTGTCCACAAATAAAAGTATATTATCCTTCTAACTGTGGAATGATTTTTTTTTCTGTTCAGTATAAGTTTCTATAGGGAAGGGTAGCACTAGGTAGAAAAATAAAGATTTTCTTGTTCATATACTTTCACTTGTGAAGTTGCTCTCTTGGAACTAGACCCTCCTTAACATTGTCTCATATTCTAAGCTTTACTGCTATTAAAAGAAATGAAAATTTATCTGCTCATATCTTCCCTACATTCTTTGTGTGTTCTTTTGAAGTAGGCTATCTATTAAATGGGAAGTCAGCGTGTTCTTAGGAATTTTAACCCTGGATTTTTCTAAACATACTGTACCTCCTTAACCTATAGGAACAATGTTAGTGGTTATTAAATAGTGACTTATTCATATAAACCACTTTAATAATAGAAAATTCCAATTCTGAGACAGATCAAAAGGATGTAATTAGGGGATCTGAACCCTCAATCTTCAATAAGAAGCCAATAATGTATTCTGCCTAAGAATAGAATAATTTGTAGTGAATCTTTGACCAAGACCTGTATTAGTAGACTCCAGGATACAGCCACTAATTTTTTGCAACCACTTTCAAAAGTGTTCTTGATAGTATACACCCTAGACATGCCTCATGAGTGAATAAATGAATTATATACATATATCTGAGAAATACCTTGTATTTTGAAAAAGAAACTTTGACTAAGACTTTTTGATATACAAAAATTGAAACATTCTTTTTTAATTTTGGAGAGCTACATACTTTAATAATAAAAGGAAATCAGCACCATTAATATTTTCTGTAGAAGGACCAGAAAGTCAAAATTTAATACTGGTAGAAAGATTAAATTTCAAGGTTAATGTTCCTAAATAGCTATTAATTTTTAAAGAATATGAACAACTTTATGTCACTACTTTAAAGTTTATTATCATCATTGTTATTAATTAGTTAATTGCTTAATTAGTTACATACCCTAGGAGATGGCACTTTGGCTTTGGTGCTTTTCTTTAACATAAATTCAGAAAAAACATTGAAAACAAAGATATTACTGTCTGCCCCTGCAGTCACCAAGAAGCGGTTGTCAAAGCTGGTCGAGATGCTCTTAACACACCCATAATTATTATCATGCACAGTGAAGTGCCAGTAGTGCTCCAAACTGGTCAGGGAAGGATCATTCTGATTTAGCACATACACTCGAATTGCTCCATTTCTCATGCCACAAAACATCACCGTTTGGTCCAAGCTATGAGAAAAGAAAGTAAATTATTCTTTCCACTGGTCTGAAAACACTGTTTAACTTTTAAACCAATTGAAAAATGACTAGATCTGAGCCAGGCGTAGTGGTGCACGCCTATAATGCCAGCACTCAGGAGGCTGAGGCAAGAAGATCGCTGTGAGTTCAAGACCAGCCTGGGCTACATAGTGAGTTCCAGGTCAGTCTCAACTACATAGTGAGACCCTGTCTCAAAAAAAAAGAAAAAAAAAAAAAAGACTAGGTCTGAAATAACAAAGGTGTTAACTGAATTGTGTACTACCAAAAAGTCAAATGCTCAAAGCCAGGCACAGTGGTGCATGCTTGTGATGCTTGTGATCCCAGCACTTAGGAGGATCACCTTGAGTTTAAGGCCAGCCTGAACTACATAGTGAGAACTTGTCTAAAAAAAAATAACTCATATGTTCAGTCCCTAAGCCTAGGTCCCTTAGAATGTAATCATGATGTGAGAAAAGACCTATAAAGAGGTGTATAAGTTAAAATGAGAACATTAGGATGGGGTCCTAACTGGGGTCTTTATAGGAAGTGGAGATTAGGTGAGAAGAGAGAGAGAGACAGAGAGCCAGAGAGACTAGGGATATTGTGCACGTAGGAAAGACCAAAGGAAGACACAGAAAGAAGACAGACAGCAGCAAGCCAATGAGAGAAACCTCAAGAGAAACTAAACCTGCCTACCTACCCACACTTTGACCTTGGAACTCTAGTCTCCAGGCTATGAGCCAGTAAATATCTGTTCCTTAAACCACCCAGTATGTGGTATTGGTATAGCCACCCTACTAAATTAGCATAAAAAGAAAATGTCAATTTGAAAGTTAGAGCTAGTCTTCTTTTGATTCTCAAAAGAATGGCTGACATATTTGCTCAATTATTAAAGGGCTAATGATTCCATTTGTAATTTCTCTAGAATCTTTGTAATCCTGACCCCTATATGCCCATGCAGTAGCCTCCTCCTAAGTAAAAGAAAGGACTTAAGACCATGTAATTCAACTGTATTGTGATTAACCACAAATTCTGACAGAATATCTGATAAGCAGATTTAAATGGAAATCATTTCTAGCTTTCATTACATTTATTTACTCCAAACATAATTTATTGAACCAAACATAATTTGGGTATCCTTGATTTGGATATATCTTTTAAAATTAACAATATTCATGATACACAAAAACACAGAAACTAAAAGGACACAGTTTTTTAAAGATTTTTAAAATTCTGTTCACCTGAAAGTGATAGTTTGGATGGGATTATCTTCTGTATCTTGAAGAAAACGGAAATCAAAAGGTTCGTCTTTCTGTGCTTTGAAATCACTGCTTTTATCATATGGGGGAAATTCACAGTGATATAGAAAACCAGAATCATAGCCACCCTGGAAAAGATGAACAACTCTGAAAGTGGTACTTGAATATAATACATATGACTGCATGAGAAGCTTTTGCTTATTTCAAAATCTAAAACGCAAAATGGATGTTTTGTACATTCACTTACATATGATTCTATAACAGCTTTTATTATTTCTAAAAATATCTCTATTGTCCATTTATATAAAACTATGTAATTATAATAAAGACTTTGATACTTTGCTTCCCCTTACAAATCAAAATGAGAGATTTTACCTCTGACTACCTACTGAATTCCATCTCATTTCTTCATTATTATGAAGAAGCAGTATCTAATAAAAGGTTTTTCAGTTGCCTGTTTTCACAGCTAGTTTTCAGTCTGGGATAATTTTAAACACTGTTAATTTTTCAGGAAGGGCTATTTAGGAGTAATCTATTCATATAGTGAAAAGACAACTGATCATCTGGAAAAGATACACTGCTCTAATTTTAACTTGCTTTCTTTTTTTTCTTTTCTTTTCTTTTTTTTTTTTTTTTTTTGAGACAAGGGTCTTACTATGTAGTTGAGACTGACCTGGAACTCACTATGTAGCCAAGGCTGGTCTCAAACTCACATTGATCCTCCTGCCTCAGCCTCCCGAGTGCTGGGATTACAGCTGTGTGCCACCACGCCCAGCCATCTAACTTGCTTTCTTTATGTATATGGACCCTAGATTCCTTATTAGAGAAAATAAGTTAAGGATCAGAGCATCTTTATGAAAAGTGAGTGAGTAAATAAGAAAGAGACAATAACAGAATCATCACATCTGAAAATCAAATTACTGTTTCTCCTTATTAGAGAAAATAAGTTAAGGATCAGAGCATCTTTATGAAAAGTGAGTGAGTAAATAAGAGACAATAACAGAATCATCACATCTGAAAATCAAATTACTGTTTTCACTTTTGACAATGGCAGACTGAATTATTTTAGCCAAGCCTTGCCACTGAGAATAATTAGAGGAAATTTTGAAAAATACATTTGGAGGCACTAGAAAGATAACAAAATAATAAGACCCTGAAGACAAGGAGAACCAGTAGAAATGAACCTGGAATTTAGCATTGCTCTTCTCTTTGAAGTGACTTTTAATGAGAGTAATAACTAAGAGGCTAAGAAGCTGAGCATAAACATTTGCAGTCTTGCGGACTTATGGAAAGGGAAATAACTTTCAGAGTCTTCTACAGAGAAGGGACCAGCGTAAATACAGTTCCCACTGAAGTTCTGGAGTGATACACACCAGTGTATGAGTCATGGGAAATAGAATAGACCTCACAGGAAGGAAAGCCTACTTTCAGGCCATCTCATTCACTGACTGGTTTAAAGTAATCTAGGACTCTAGCTCCTTTCCACAACTAAAAATAAATTTCAGGAGATAACAGCAACACATTGAGAATACAGGTAGTTCTACAGTTTTTTATATGCACAATGTCATGCTCAGTAAAAAATAACAAGACGTAATAGGAAATACAAGAAAAATAACTATGATTAATACACCTAAGGCATCTGAAGGCAACACAGAAAAATTTAGATGTCAATTGGAACCTATAAAAAAGTAAATAGTGAAAAAGACAGAAATTCTAGAACTGAAAAATTATAGAAATTAAAATTCAAATGACTGTTTTAATAGCAAGTAGACAAAGCTAAAGAGAGTTAAAACAAAATCCCAAACAACAAATCCAAAACTGGACTAAAGAAATGAATAGATAATTTATCCAAAGAAAATATATAAATAGCCAATAAACACATGAAAACATGCTCAGAATCATTGATCGTTGAGGATCTGTGCATCAAAAGTAAAGTGGGATGTACTCACTCCACTTGGAAAAGACAAGAAAAATAAATACGATTAATACACTTAAGGCATCTGAAAGCACAATTAAAAACAGTTAAAGGCTACAATCAAAAACAACAACAACAAAAACAATAACAAAAATAATAGGTACTGAAAAGGATATGGAGAAACTGGATCCCTTGGGCATAGTTAGTGGTGATATAAAATGGTATAGTTCTGTGGAAAATGCTTAGGTAATTCCTCAAAAAATAAAATAAAAATAGAATTACCGTGTGGCTCTATACTTCTACTTCTGAGTATATTCCCTAAAAAAACAGAAATTAGAATCCCATGGAGACATTGGAATGCCCATGCTATTGTCCATTATTCACAATAACCAAAAAAAAAAAATGATCCAAGTGTCCACCAGTGGCCAATTGGATAAACAAAATGTGGTACATTAGAGTACTATTCAGCCTTGAAAAGGAAGGAAATTCTGACAGATGCTGTGGTGTGTATGAAATTGGTGGAAATTATGCTAAATAAAATAAGCTGGTTACAACAAGTACTATATGATTCCATGTGTGAGAAAGCATTTTAAGTTGTAAAAAAAGTAATGTGCTAGAAGGTGAAAAAGTAAAAAGAGTCAACAAAAGAACAATAACATGTCAATAATAAGTCAGTACATATCAGTTATAACCATCAATGTCTATGGCCTCAACTCACCAATCAAGAGAAATAGAATGGCAAAGTGGAATAAGAAGCAAAATCCAACAATATGTTGTATACAAGAAACACACCTAGTGCAAAAAGAAGCCCACAGACTAAAAGTGAAAGGATGGAAAACAATTCTCTATGTGACAGGAGCCCAGAAAAAAGCAGGTGTAGTAATCTTATTTGCAGACAAAGCAAATTTGAAACCAAAACTGATTCTAGTATTATTGATGTAGGACGGTACTGTATCACACCTCTGTGAATGTAAAATATCTTGTACCTGCTTTATGATACATAGTACTGACCGTGCTTTATCAGAGCTGTATTTAATGATATTACTCTAGAATGTTCTCTTTCCAGATGTGATTAAGATGCTAATAAAAAAACCACAACAGCAACAGAACTTTGCTGTTTTCTGGATATTATTCTTTTCTTTGTTTTGTTTGTTTTTAATGAAATGTACTGAATGTCTATAATTTTGTTCAGATGACTGCAGATCATACTGCTATTATTGGTCTTTTTATATAAATATAAATATATATATATATATACATATATATAATTTGAATTTTTGGAAATTTTAACAGTGCTGTCAACTTTGGAAAAAGTTATCCCAATTTACTGTGTTGAGTTGGCATTGTACAGAAATGGACAGCCATATTGGTCTAGAAATGTTAATTTTTTTATTTTTACATTTGTACAGAGTGATACACTGTATTAAATATGTAAGGTCATATCAACGTGGGTTTGATTACAGAAACTAATAAAGTGTTCTCTAAATAATGAAAAAAAAGAATAAGATAAGACTACAAGAGCAAGAAGCAATTTAAATATGTTAAGGGACCATTTCCATCTTCAGAATTAAGGATTATTTTAATCTTACATCATTGCCTTTTCTCTTTTACTTTCCTTTTTAGTTTTATTTTAGGATTCCCTATTTTTAATGTTCATACAGAGATTTTTTTTAACTGAAATACCGAATAGTTTCTTTGGTGTGAAAAACTGTAATAGTACACATAGGATCCTAATGAGATAATTAATAATGTGAAATAGGAAGTAAAAGGCTAAAGGTGTAGGGAAAGTGGGAAGGGTGAGGGAAAGGTAATAAGGGAGAGGAAAAAAATATGAGAAACTGAAAAAATGGAAATAAAGTGTTTGTAAATGGGGAGGGGAGGAGAGGGTGAAGGGAGGGCAGGGACGAGGGGAAAAAATGAGAATCAAGACCTATTATGAAAAGGTACAGGATCCCAATAATGAATGTAACTGTACTGCATACCTACAATGTACCAACAAACTCAATAAAAAGAAAGTAATGTGCTGGCTGCAAGGGCTGGATGGTAGATACAGGGTTTCTGTGTTACAGGACAGTGGTGATTGCATGACATCATGAAAGTGCTTATTAGCACTGAGCTGTATACATAAAAATGGTTAAGATGATAATTTTTTTGTTATATGAGTTTAACTACAATTGTTTAAAACTGGAAAAACTAAATCCAGGAGAGAATTAAGAAGCTGAAACAGAGATCAGAAATAATAGGCTAAATCATAAGGAGAGATTTTTTAAAAGGAAAAATATATACGGAAGGGACATAGTGAGACGAATTTGATATAAATAAAGTTAGAATCCCAGAAGAAGATGAGCCAAGCAACACTGCAACAGATTATGCGTGAGGATTTTTGCAAACTGAAGAAATATTTTGAAATTAAAAACTGTAACTTCGGGCTGGAGATTTAGGTCAGTGGTTCCACTGGCTGCCTTGCAAACGCAAGGTCCTGAGTTCAATCCCCTGTACCAAAACAAACAAACAAAACCTGTAACTTCCAAGATAAAAATCTGAAAGGTAACCATCAAAAAGATATATAATAGTCTTAAAAAAGAAGATTGGGAGACTGCAAGGCAAAACACAGGCACCACATTGGGCTGACCTACTAGGAATCAAAGAGATCTCAGGGAAGAGTGAAATGTTTGTGCCCAAACAGAAAATTGAGACACCTGGAAAGCAACTTTACAAAGAGAGAGAGAAAAAAAAAAGTAGTAGATCTCCAAAAATCCAGGGGGAACTAATAAGAAAACTAGAAACTACAGAGAAGTTGGAGAAACAGCACAATGCAGAGACTGAAAAGCAGACCTCAGTTCCCAGGGAGGGGGAACCTGTCTCTGCTGACACAAGGTAAGTCTACGGAGGGTCAGCAGCCACAGAGAGAAACAACAGACTGGGCCAGTTGTGCTAGCACCAAGAAGAGGCCATGGAGGCTGTAAACCGCAAAAACATTGTGAGGGTTTACTCCAACAGTGATTCCTTCCCCAAAGTGGCTGAAGAATTCTAGTGAGGAACCCACCAAATCTGACAGGGTTTAATCAGGAGGCTTTTTGGGATGGGGTTGTTTAAAACTGACCTACAAAACAACTACACTTTAGGGTTTCTGTTGCCACAGTGACTGGGTGGGAGATGGCCACAAGAGACAGTTACAAAGAGGGCACAGGATAGACATAAGTACATCCTGAG